GCGTTGACAGCGTGACTTTAAATGAATTAATTACTAATTTTGGCATAAATATTTGAATTACATAACAGATGAAAAATGACAGAATAATGACTAAAATGTAATACAAGTGAATAAATGTTAATTCTGATCCTATTCATCAGGTCTTGCACACACTGCAGCATCGCAGTACAATATAAATGTATTAGAACGAGTACATTATTATTTATGGGCTTAAAAACAAAATGCAAACAGTCAGAATATTGTACCTGGTGGGGAGTGCCCAATGTAAACATGAAACATATGCCATAATATATACAGCGGGTAAAATAAGTATTGAACACATCTCTATTTTTCCCAATAAATATATTTCTAAAGGTGCTGTTGACATGAAATGTTCACCAGATGTCGGTAACAACCCAAGTAATCCATACATACAAAGAAAACAATACAAATAAGTTCAGAAATCAAGTTCTGTGTAATAAAGTAGAATGACACTGAATGACGTACTGAAATGTATTTAATACTTTGTACAAAAGCCTGTGTTGGTAATGACAGCTTCGAGACGCCTCCTGTAGCAGAAACTAGTCGCATGCATTGCTCAGGAGGGATTTTGGCTCATTCTTCCACAGAGTCTTCAAATGTTGAAGGTTCTGTGGGCCTCTTCTATGACCCACGGTTCAGATCATATTATGGATTTTGAGTCACGGATCAAATCAGATCAGATAATTTTTCAGATCAGCAAAAAAATAAAAATTTGTGAAAGCTTACTTTAAGTTCTTCTATACCACAGCAAAAACTACTAACTTAACTAATAAAGTTAATAATAAAACAAGAACAATTACAAGCGTAGATGAATACAACAAAACACAGTTACAAATAAAGTCAGTAACAGTAGCATTCAGGTGCAGAAATGTAATAATTAAGTGTAAAATAACACAATAGTGCTCACTGCACAAGTTAAATACAGATTAATCTTTGTTAGAGCTGTGGTATTATTTGATTAGCAGACAGAAACAGGTATTTATTGGCTGCTGTCTCTTTAAGACCAAATGCACGGACCATGAACTGACACACATCCGTTTTTTTCTCAGCGGTTTACGTTCACTTAAGACATAACCGACTGTGTTTACTATAATACTTGCCAAAACGGGTATTTTAACATAACTTTGTGTGTATGTGAAAGAGGAATCAATTCGGTGTTCACGTGGTGTCTCTCTCTCTGCGTGTGGCAGCGGCTGAGCGCACAGAAAACAGCGCACAAGTTAAAATTGCTTGAATATGTAAACTGGCAAGACCAAACATGTGCAAATGATAAACTTTAACTCTATGATGGTTAAACTTAACAGTTAATCCGCAAATCACATTAGAGCCTGATCCATCTACGATCCGTTGCACCCCTAATCATCCTGGTAGATGACAGCAGATTTTCATCAAGAATGTCTTGGTACATTTTTTCCATTCATCCTTCCTTCAATTATATGAATTTTTCCAGTGCCACACCATGATGTTTTGGGGTGATGTGCAGTGCCCTTTGACCTCCAAACATGTGTATTATGGCATCCAAAGAGTAAAATATTTGTCTCATCTGACCAAACTATATTCTCCCAGTAATTCACAGGCTTGTCTAAATGTGGTGCAGCAAACTTTAAACCAGCTTCAACATGCTTTTTCTTCAGCAACAGAGCCTTGTGTGGTGAGCGTGCATACAGGCATTAATGCATTAATTATTGTACTTATTATTTTCTTTGAAACAACTGTACCTGCTAATTCCAGGTCTTTCTAAAGCTCTCCACAAGTGATCCTTGGCTCTTAGAAAACGCTTCTGATAATTCTTTTCACTCCTCTGTCAGAAATCTTGCGAGGAGCACCTGGTCGAGGCCGGTTTATGGTGAAATCATGTTCTTTCCACTTCCCAACATTCAGAAGTATAGAAATCCTTCTGTAACCAATGCCATCAGTATGTTTTGCAACAATAAGGTTGTGAGGGTATTGAGAAAGCTCTTTGCTTTTACCCAACATGAAATGTTTTTTGTGTGACACGTTGGTCATGAGACACCTTTTTATAGGCCATCAGTTGGGACTGAAGCAGCTAATTCTAATTTCCACTGACGAGGGGCAGGATTGCTTTCTAATTACTGATAGATTTCAGCTGGTGTCTTGGCTTTCTGTGCCTTTTTGCACCTCCCTTTCTTCATGTGTTCAATACTTTTTCCCTGTCATTCTACTTTATTACACAGAACTTAATTTCTGAACTTATTTGTTTTGCTTTCTTTGTATCTATGGATTACTTGGATATTACCGACATCTGGAGAAAATTTCATGTCAACAGCACCTTTAGAAATATATTTACTGAGAAAAATGGTGATGTGTTCAATACTTATTTTACCCGCTGTATTGTACTGTGGTAGAGTTATGGAGGCCCTTCATAATGTAGAGGTGAACTGCCTGCTCTGCCTATAGTTAGCAATGGCCCTATATAGTATGCAGTGTTTAATAAACAGCTGTTTTACTCAATTCTGCTGAGGTGAAATTCAGTGCAGTCCTGTACCGTGATATGTATTGCATCGTTCGTATCTATCATATGTTGTTGCCTTATTAAAAAATATGCTACACATTTAAATGTATTTTAATTTTATAGTAAATACTTACATATAAATACATTCATGAATGTTTTTAATGAATGGATTTTATAATAATACAAATAGCAATGTGTAACATTTTACCATATTTAGTGCAACACTTTTATTTGTTCCCCACAAAATATTGTTTTTTCACTAAATGTTTGGATTTCTAAAATTATTGTAGAATAACTTCTGCTGCCGAATTATCCACTAACCTAGTTTATGATAATTTTTTGTCATAGATTATAAATATACATAGGCCTATATTTTTTCATATTTGTTTATTTTATTTTTCTTTATAATGAAGTAGTCTGTATCTAGTAGATTGTGAAAGAATGATTATCAGTTCCACACACAGAGATATATAAATTCTACATTTATTTAAATGAGGGAAAAAAACTTAACTGGTATCGGATCGGTATCTGTATCGGCCAATACCCTAGGTATCGGAATCGGTATCGGAGGCGAAAAAGGCGGATCGGAGCATACCTAGTTCTAATGGGGTCAGAAGTAGTTTTTATTGGTCTGTCTGTCTATAACTTCTCGGAGTAAAAACTTTCAAACTTCAATCTTTTAAAAATTATTATAAACTTTCAGGCAAGGCTTGGTCAAACCAACATCCAAACATCCATTTGTATATCTTCTGATTTGTCCATTAAGCTCCAAAAAAAAAAAAAGAGAGAGAAAAAATGAAACAATCTTTAAGCACAAATCAGAAAATTTTTAAACATATAAAATGGGTTCAAAGTTCATGGCTGAGCTATAGTTTATGATTAACCTGAAATGTTTTCATCACACTTCAAACTATACACCCTTGACTCCACAAGGTGGCACCACGCACACACATTTAAACCCAAGAACACTACAGACCTCTGAAATTCCCTACCATTTGGATGACAACATCCGCTTTCCTGATCCTGTCGAGTCTGGAAGTGAGAAAGTCATCTATCCTTGTTTACCAAAGTTCAGTGCTTACTGACCCATGTCCTCTAGGAATAAAATCCCAGAGGAAGCCTCTGAAGAAAATAAATTGAGCTTGTAATGCATGGATTAGAAGTGCTCTGAAATCATCCGAACTCTAAAGTCGCTCTCACAAACAAACTGCTGTCTTCTTCCCAGGCTGTCTCTGCACATTCCCAGGCACGGCTTGTTTCCTGTATTTTTTCCCGCCTGTTTCTGAAGACCCCACCCCAGCTCCTCAAAGTTTCTTCCAGCGATAAGCTGCTGGTGGAGCGAGTGTGATGTGAGGACAGGAAGCCCACCATCCCCCCAGCATCACAGGAGCTGGATTGAGTCCAGGGCCACTGTAAGACGACACCAGCAGCAGCACACAGGAGCCGTCTGTCGACTCCCACACAGGAGCCCTCCCTACATACTTTCACTTTACTCTTGTTTTTTTTCATCAAGTACAACAAAGACGACATCATTCTGAGAAATTTCACTGGACACTCTGCATATCCATATCACGATGAGTGTCTCGGTGCTAGAAAAAGATGACTTTGTTTTTTTACATTTTTGTAAATATTTTTCTTAATAGTACCAAGTAGGACTTGGTGATATTTAAAATGTGGTATGGATTTAATATCTGACGTTTATTTAGTATGTAGGCATGTGATCAGCTATGGAAAAAATTTAAACCAGTTGTTCGCTCTTCAATATAACTATTATTAAAAACACTAATATATATTAGTGTGTGTGTGCATTGTGTGTTTTACTACACATATGTATATACACATACATATACATATATATATATATATAAATGTATGTATGTATGTACAGTGGTGTGAAAAAGTGTTGGCCCCCCTCCCGGTTTTTTTTATTTTTTTGCATATTTGTCACACTTAAGATTCAGATCATCAAACTAATTTTAATATTACACAAAGATAATGCAAGTAAATACAAAATGCTGTTAAATTATTATTTAATTTATTAAGGGAAAAAAGCTGTCCAAACCTGCCTGGCACTACGTGAAAAAGTAATTGCCCCCTAAATCTAATAACTGGTTGTGCCACGCTTTGCAGCAACAACTGCAATCAAGTGTTTGCGATAACTGGCAACGAGTCTTTCACATCGCTGTGGAGGAACTCTGGCCCACTCTTCTTTGCAGAATTGTTTTAATTCAGCCACATTGGAGGGTTTTCGAGCATGAATGGACTGTTTAAGCATCTCAATCGGATTTAAGTCCGGACTTTGATTTGGCCACTCCAAAACCTTAATTTTGGATATTCTTAAATATAACATTAAAATCATGATGATCATAATTTGAATGTACTTTTTTGTCAACGAAGCTAAAGACCAAGTAGGTCAGTTTTGTGACTTGGCGTTAAGACTGAATCTGATTTAAAAATCAGCAGCAAAAATGTCAACAACTTTCAACAATGAATTTGCTTCACTTGCATGCATTAGTAAATAAATATGTGTAAACATATTGCTGTTTATTACTATGTATTAGTATATACGTGTCTTGACCGGCCGCCCTGCAGCTCTCTGCCATCAGTGTCTGTCTGTATTCTGTGCTGCAGCAGCAGACCGGTCTCTCATTTACCTGCTTGTTCTTGTACTTCTTCAGGTATCGTGGAGACACCAGGCACTCAGGGTTGATGTCGGTGGTGATGGGCTCTATGATCTGAGGATCAGGATTCATGTGCTGCATCTTCAGGAAGGACAGAATGTTCTGGACCTCCAAGTTGTAGGAACTATCTGCCATCGTCTTCCCTTTGGAGGCCAAACGGCAAGCCGCCATCCACTGAGCGTACTGCTTCTCCTGAAGGACAGGGAAAGGTGTTTGATCCTGTGTGATCCATGCTTTTCAAACAACTCGTTTAGATTATTGTAATTCACTTTATTACAGTGTTTCTCAGTTTTCTCTCTCCCGTCTACAGCTAGTGCTAAATGCAGCTGCTAGACTACTCTCTGGTTCTGGCAAGTATGAGCCAGTTACTTTTTTATCTGCACTGCACTGGTTACCCATTAAATATAGAATTGATTTAAAAATTATTTTACTTGTGTGTAAAGCCCTGTCTACTCATTGTGCCTAGATCTAGACTTAAAAAACGAGGTGATAACGCTTTTGCAACTGCAGGTCCGAAACTCTGGAACGGTCTACCTCTTCATATTAGATTAGCCCCTCTATTTCTGCTTTTAAGTCTGCTCTATAGACATTTATTCTCTCTAGCTTTCAATTCCCCTTGATCATTGGTTCAATTGTTGTTTTGTTTTTGTTGCGTTTTAAATCTGTTTCTTCTTATTTCTGAGTTTTGTATTCTACTCTGTACAGCACACTTTGGTCAACTTCGGTTGTTTTTAAATGTGCTTTACAACTAAAGTTATTCAAGTATAAAGTACTTTAAACAATAGTTGTTTAAAGTAAAACAACTATTGTATCCTCTGAGTGCCAGTGTACATTTACTATCACTGAGATGCTATTATAGTTAAAGTTTTCAATTTAATTTTAAAGTTTTAGCAATTTTGTTTTATGTTTTTGTCAGTTTTATTACTTTTTGGGGACTTTTCTGTCTATTTTTATGAAGATGTATTTCAGTTTGAATCAATACTAAATGAAAATGAGATATGTTACTTTGGCAACTAGCTGAAATAAATAATTATTTCATCTAACATTTTTTTTTATATAGTTTTAGTTAACCACAATAACCCTGATGAGTCTGTATAATTACTTTTGAAGCAGCAAGTCAAGTAATATTCTACTTTTCCTTTTAAAGACAAGTGAAAATGTGAGGCAATTTAATGCTCAATAATGTGTGACAATCAATAGAAGTGTCTCACTCACAGCATCACACCGCAGCCAGATCTCGTTCATACCATCTGCTACAGGAATTAGCAACTTGATGTTGAATTTCTGACCGGAAATGTTCACATCTGGTGTGACTTCACAGCCTACAGAGAAACAGCGGATGAGATGCAGTGCTGATGTGGTAAACAAACAGCGTTTCTAACCGTGTCTGTTGCGAGCGGTCACCTCTCAGGTTCATCTGGTGCGCCGGCGTGCCGTGGGCCTCCTCGCGGCTCTTGTAGCAGGAGATTGTGATGTCCTTGAACGTGCACCAGTACTGCTTGTATCCTTTCAGAGTGAGTTTCTTTGGTCTGAGGTATGAGCAAAAGATCAAGAGAAATTCCTTTGATAAAAGACCTGTCTCTAATGCTGATCAGGTCTGTGACGCCCGCTCTTTCAATATAGCAAAATATAAGCACATTATAATAAGCATTATTAATAAGCAGACCCATTTAGCTTAAACAAACCGTAATTAATTTAGCTGCCACTATGTATTAGTCTATTTACACTTTAAACAGACTAATACATAGACAGAGCCTTGCTTTATTATTATTATATTTTTTTTTTTGCCTTGCACTACTTAAAGCTTATGAGACCAAAAACAATAAATCTCAACATATTTTTCAATCCTTCAACTCACTTGAAGACTTTCACGTAGTCAGCCAGTTCAGGAATGGATGTGATGTCACCCTGAGAACACAAAGTGTATTAATAAAGTTGTTGGTGTAATGATGTCAAAATCTTTATGGTCACAGTCTACATAACAGCTGCACGCCGCTCATGTCACAGCAAGAGGAATATTCAGAATACACCGTTTTGATTTCATTTTTTAATATGCTTAAACCAACTCCAATTCTGTCTGCAGTATAATGCTATCCAATTACTGCACTCAAACTCCAGAGGATATGACTCGCTTACAATGATCAAACCAGTCATTTTTACATAATATTCCTTTATTTGAATGACTTCAATTTGAAGCAATACTTGGAGATTTTTTTATGGAATGAAAAGCATGAAATCAATGTGATAATATTTCTAATTTGTACAGTCTTTCCTCATAATTAACGTTTAAAGTGATGTATAATGTTGTCTAATTCTACTGTTCTTCATGGTGATGTTATTTGTATTACATCCTTGCTTTTTGATTAAAAATAAATAAATAGTGCTTAGATTGAAGTACTGCACTTACACATACAGCAGGCATGTGTGCTTCCCTTTCAAATAAAAAAATATGTGTCAGCATAACATGGCACCATTTTTCTTTGTTTCATCATACCTGGTTAATGAGGTTGGTGTGTTTAGATGAAGTATTTGTGATGAACTGTATGTTGATAAATCACAACAAGCCCATGCTATAGGCACTGCATTGACACAGGCTACAGCAGGAGTTATTTCATGCTAATATTTGAAGCTTCTGCTTTTCGAATGCAGAGTGTGATAAAGGCCTACAGGTGTGTGTCTGTAACGGAAGTAGTAAGAATTATTATTGCACGAGATTGCAGTACCAGCGTGTTGGACGTCTTTCCTCCCTCGAGAGTGATCTCCAGATCTGACAGAGCTGCATCAACCTCATCGACCTCCTTCTCACTGTTGTTCATGTGATTGTCTGAAGACATGATGGACAGCTTGTTGATGTGGTACTGCGAATAAAAACATATTAATATCGTAAATTCCTTGTTGTGATATTTAACCCTCTCCCATATCTAACATTTAGCCAAGTAAAAAAAAATATATAAAATTGTCAACGTAAATGTAAAAAGTATTTTGAAAATATTGACAACTTGTATGCATTTGTGAAATGTAACATTTTCATGAATTTGTTAAAAACTGTATTCCCACGTCCTGCACATCGTCAACCTCTTACAAAATAAAGGGGAAATAAAATTAATAAAATATTTACTTTGACCTCCTGACAGGACAAATATGCATGCGGTCCTGTCCCACATGTTGCAAGCTACATTGTTGCTGGATGATTTTCCCAATTAAATAAAACTGAATTTGTCAGTGTTCATGTTAAATGTGTTTTTTAGGTTTTAAACTTATGCATTTGTGAAATTTAACAATTATTTTGTATTTGTTTTCATGAAATGGTTTTAAACTGTATTCATACATGCTGCAAAAACTCTTACAAAATAAATGAAAAATAAAAAAGCTAATGTAATATTTACTCTGACCTCCAGGAATGAACAAACAACATTTAACATTTTTAAATAATTTTCTGTATCAGTGTTATTTTAGTATCATTGATACACTATTGTAGTTTTTTCAATGGGTTTTTAATTCAAAATTAAATATTTTTTAAATATATTTAGAATTATAATTTATATATATATATATATATATATATATATATATATATATATATTATTTTTTTTTTGTTTGTTTGTTTAAAGTTAATTTTAACATTTATTTATAATTTTCTGTGTCAGTATTATTGATACGCTATTATAGTTTTTTCCCAGTTTTTAATTCAAAATAATATATATATATATATTTTAATTATATATTTTTTATTTTATTTTAATTTGAGTAAAAGTTTAAAGTTAATAATTGAACATTTATTTCAATGATACTAACAACATTTTTGATACTGTTTTTTTGTTAACTATAATACTATTCATGTATGAGTTTAAAGCCTGTGACCTCGTTCTCCTAATTACAATTAGCTGTCAAACGATCCCCATGGTGCTACAGCAAACAGTTGGACTACAGAAGCATATTTCACTGTACGCTGATGACAGCTCCGCTTTCAAAATAGAGACTAAAGGTATTTTCATGTCACCATCTCTCTGCTCAGATAAGAGTAGTTAGTAGGTGAATGACACACTGGTTTCTCTCAACGGTTAACAGCCTCGCTATAAAGCTGGCTAAACTTAGAGCTGCTGATGTTTGAAGTCGCTGAGCTCTTCTACCCAGAGACACGGTGCAGGTCCAGAGCCAGACTCGTATCCTCTGACTGAACGTGGTGTGGACTGATGGGGAGGGACAGACCTGACTAATTTAAACTCGCTGTACGTAAACAGAGAAAGTCGACACCACTGATACACCTCCACAAATCCCTGCTGGAGCAACCCACACCTCCTTAGGCTGGAGACTCCGGGTGGTCTCCCATGTCCCACCTCCCTCGAACAGACGCCCGCTCTATATTTACATGACGTGAAGACAGTGAGGCGTCCTGAGGTGTTGTCACTCAACATTTATGAGGGTCTGAAATAGCAGGGTCATCGCTGAAAACAAACGTCACAGCCTAACGTTTGCATGCTGCAGATGCTACGCAGTCAGGCACAGAGCCCATCCAATTCATTAACAGGGCCAGAGGACCCGAGCGAAGACTGCAAACTGTCAAAAGTCGGGCGTTGGCATAAATTCTGCCGAGGTTTGGACGTGCACGTACCTGCAGGGCGGCAAACATCATCATCTCCTCCTCGGTGCATTCAATCTCCTCCAGCAGGATGGCCCACTTGGCCTGCTCATACAGCTGGTTCACCCTGATGGCATCATACTGCAGGGGTCAGGAGAGGGTTAAAAACACGACACCACAACACCACTTCCAGCACACCGTCCTTACAACATAAGTGCGTAGATCCCTCTGAGAGTCCTACGGGTGAGCATAATGTACACTATATACAACTATACTCATATACAACCTTAAAGAGGTCATGAAATGCAATATTTTAGGTTTCCTGAGGTGCACTTATCATCTTAGTATGGTATTTTCATTAAAAAGATGAAACCTTTTTTTTACCCAAATTTAGCCTCTGATAAATTCTTTATTGTAATATTTAACCCTCTCCCACATCTACCATTCCCCAATTTAATAAAATGGAATAAATCAAAGTAAATGTTAAAATGCAAATGTAAAATGGGCTGCAAACACTGCTAAACTCTTACAAAAAATACAATATTTACTTGTCCCAGATTTTGCAAGCTACACTGTTACTAGATGATTTTCCCAATTAAATAAAACTGAATTTGTCTATGCAAATGTTCATGAAATGCAATATTTTGTTTTCTAAGGTGCAACTATCATCTTAGTATGGTATTTTAATCAAAACTGGTCATAATGTAGAAACAAATTGTCATTTTCTACCCACATTTAGCCTCTGATTTGAACACTCTGTTAGAAGGGGCGTGTCCACTGTGAGACTTCAATGGAAACTCCCACTGCTATGATTGGCTCACATCTTTGCATATGAAACGAGCATTACATGTGGAACTCTCTTGAAAACTTTTATTATGCCAGGATGAACTAATGGGGAAAAGTGTTGATTACAGCATTATATTTAGAGCATCAAAGCACTGCACTAAAGTCATGTCTACTGAGCACACGATGATAACAATCATCTTCTTACTGCGACGTGATTTCTGCAATCTCACCAATACTTTTACCATAACTTACAAAGTGCAACACGGTGTAAATAAGAGACTCGTTGAGCAATGTAAACTGAGCCACTGATTAGAACAGGATTTTTGGCGAAAATGCAGAAATCACCAATAGACTTGCTCTGCTCCAGCTATTATAAAGACAACAATCTCTGAACACTTTCTGTATATAAAATAATCACAATATAGACGGTTTTTATGCTACTGACAGGAATATCAAGAATGTTTTGATTTTCTATTGCATGACCCCTTTAGAGTTAGACTAGAGTTATACTTTATTGTCCTTTGTAGGAAATTTGTCTTGGACTCAAAGCTGCAGCAATACACACCAACCACACAAAACAACAACACTTTTGTTAGTTAAAATACCAATTTACTATTTAAAATCCTAATAGATACAGGTATAAATGAATTCTTACAGCGATTGCTTCTACATAACGGAACTTTAGGTTTTTCGCCCATTCAATTGTCTGTTTTCATTTTTTACCGTGGATTCATTTACAAACAAGGCACAATTCGATGCGGGATTTTCAAAAAGATTGAAACTAAAAGACAATGCTGTGCGACTATATTGGATCCGACAGTACTGTCGCAACACAAGCGCGAGTAACTGTTTTTGTTCTTACAGATCGTTTGGTTGGTAATTGCATTATTTATGTTTTCATTTTTTACCGTGGATTCATTTACAAACAAGGCACAATTCGATGCGGGATTTTCAAAAAGATTGAAACTAAAAGACAATGCTGTGCGACTATATTGGATCCGACAGTACTGTCGCAACACAAGCGCGAGTAACTGTTTTTGTTCTTACAGATCGTTTGGTTGGTAATTGCATTATGCGTTTTTGACCTAAATCACAGCAGCGTCCCATCTATGAGGAATGTAGGCTGTCAAACATACACAACTATTAGCCAATCACAGCAGTGGGCGTTAACTTCCGAGTCTACAATCCTCCACGCCTATTCAAACAGAGCGTTCTGATGAGGGGGTCAAAAACTGGACACAAAATAACTTATTACTTCTAAATTATGATGCAAATATCTTGACATTGGACCGCAAAATAAAAAAAAAAGGCAGTTCATGACCCCTTTAAGAGCTTGTGTGTGATTCTGGAATGTCCTATTCAGCATTGTGTGCATATGATTATATGTGATAAGGTGCAAAACACACTGACCTTTGGGTTGAGGTCAAAGAAGCTGTGGTACTTGAACCGGAGCAGAAGAACCTCGTTCTCCTTCACATCCTGCTCCATCAGTGATCTGGAGGAGTCCAGCCACCTTCACAAAGACATTCAGAGGAATATGAGTGCAAGCCTTCCTGAATCACTGAGTCTTCACACACCAGATCTGTCCCAGCTTACCCCTGGTTGATCTTGGCCTTGTCCAGGAGGGACTGTGGTTTGTACATCTTGACCAGAATGTCAGGTGAGGAGATGGGCTGGCTGACAGCGAGGATGCTGGGATTGCCTTCTGACAGCGGACTGTCTCCAAACCACGCTGTGGTGGGGGACAGAGGGCTGCCGTCCCGAGAGTCATAGGTAGGTGTCATGGTCTTGCTGTAAAGTCCAGGACTAGAATAGATGCTTCCTGAAATGAGAGGCATCTGTCAGTAACCACCCGTCAAACCCATTCACACGACAAGCCGGACGGAGGGCTGGGCGGAATGACGTTTATTTTAATGTTTCATCCAGTAGAGAGTGATTTAGGTTTTGTAACCATGGTGTAGCTGTTGGTTGTTCGTGCCTTTCAAGCAAAAGAGCAATTTGGTGTATTTATAAAGAAATCAACAGTCAGAGGGGTGTGCTTATACTGTCTTACATATTTACAGCCGCTTGCCATTTTGATTTTTTTTTTTCAACTTGTTCATAATTTTTTGGGTTTTCTTCCATTAAACTATAAAAATATTAAATATAGATTATAATATTACACAAAATTCAATGGGAATTATTACACTGATACAAACCGAATTATTTTGGGTTGAATTTTCTGCAAAAATAGCTTTGGACCCTTTTCACATTTCCCAATTTGCTCCGATAGCTAGCAAACAAAAAAAAGAGGGAAAAGATTATGTTGGTCAGAAGAGAGAAATGTGTCAAATTTGCATGCAGCACCATTGAAGTTTTATGCAATTTATTCCAAGGCAGTTTAACAACAAAATATATAGTTATTATAAATGTACATTATTAAAAAACAGAAAATTATAAATGGACCCTTTTAACGGACTGTGATGTGTAGTACACACTCCATAAAAAAAGTCAATTTATTAAAAAATAATAATAATAATAATAAGACTAACAGTTGTGCAGCTAATTTAACTCAAGTCTGTTATTATGTTTCTACTCTGACTAGGCCTGTCGCAATAATCAATATATCGACTTATCGCGCAATATATGTACATGACCTCAATCATTTTTGGTGACGCAATATATCACACATTTTATTAATGTCACCATGTTTACTACATTCCACTTGCGCCGGTGTCTTTTTGCAGCTTCTCAAACATAACGTGGTGTAGTCATGAGGAGCTAGTTCAAATAAAAAAAAATCTTCTACAAACAAAGTTTAATCTGCAGATATGGTCTTGTTTAGGGATCTGTGTCTTGGTGCGTACGGACATCTGACTGCTGAGTAGTGATTGTGTTTTTCAGCAATAGTGAGCACCCTTCATTTACAGAGAAAGAAGGTCTGGGATAAATCTTTGTGCATTTTTCTTTTTTCCTACTTGTTACTTTGCATGTTTAAATGTTTATTTACTATTTATTCAGGTATCTAATATTTTAATACTTAATTTCCATGATCTAAATATTCTTAAAAAGTTTGTTGTCATTTGAAAGCGTGTAGGCCTTTTTGCATTATTATGCTGTTACATTATGATTATATATTCAGTGGCATAAAATGGTCTTTAAAATGACAATAATATCACTTATTGCAGTTATTTCTGGGGCAATATATCGCACAACAAAAAGATGTTAGTGACAGGCCTAACTGACATCATTTGTTATGAATAATCTTGGTTTCTGGTTTGATTCCATTAAATTTTAAATAAAAAGGTAAAGAATTTAAGATTTTTTTATGATTTAAAAATTTAAGATATTACACAAGATTAAACGGTTTTATAAAACAAATTATTTGGTTAAATTTTCAGCAAAAATAACTTGTTAACATGGTGGCAGGATTTTGTCATCCCGCCCACTCCTAGCCAGATACGTAGCCAGATGACTGGAAATCACCGTAAACCGCACACAAAACTGCTGTTCACACAATCACTCATTCACATGACTGCACAGTTCTGATGAAGGCAGCATGCAGAAAACACACACAGTTCAACTTTGCGAGTGCACAGACAGCAGCATGAGGGGTCCGGGAGGTGACTGGCATCTCTATGAACCCGATGAATCAGGAGCCGAGCATCAGCTGGGTCTCAGTGCACCGTTACAGCTGTTATTATCACACACCATTAACACATTCAGTCCATTAGTGCAGCATTATTCTTTAAACACTTCAGTCAATGCCTACAGGACAACTGGAGCCATTTTCCCAATCCGCGTAAGGACCTCAAATTGCACAGGTCCAGCTGGTTATTATTAAATGGAGACTCCTAGATGTTTATTAATATTACATAGTATCAGCTGTTCACCAGCTATGACGTATGTCATGGCACAACACCCACAGAGACTAACTATAACCTTCATTTAGACGACTAGAGCTAGTGAAAGGATGACACATAATGAACTAGAACAATAAAATAAAGCTTTAATGAGTGTAAGTGTATATATATATATATATTCCTTAGTTATAAATAATACAAAGATTATTGGAGTATGTTTACAAAAAAATACTATTTTAGCTTTCCTACTTTCATGTTTACGTTACACAATGTCTTATTTTCTTTGTAATTAATTGTGAAACTTATTACAAATTTCTGAGTGAAAACATTACCATATAAGAAATCAGCATCAATAAAACATCTTTTTTTTTTTATACTGCATTGAATTTAGAAAAGAAATCTGAACAATTTGAAAAGAAAAATTAATTAAGCATATTCAATATATAAGATGCATTCAAATGAATCCTTTTAAAGCACTGGCAGCCCACACAAAATGTCTTAGACATTACCACCAAAATCAGGCCGTGTGAGCAATAATGCAATGCAAAAATAGACTTCTGCTAGCGGTACAAAGATGCAATTTTATGTGAAGACACTATCATCTGTCAACTGAATAAACTTGTTTCTCTACTGTCATAAATCCGACACATCACACAGTTACACTACACATTCTTCTCTAACCACACAAGTGACCAATCACAGAGTGAGTAAAACACAGAAGCAAAAGCACGTATGTGGCAGTGAGAGGCCACAGTCATGTAGAGGGACAGGAAGTGCTTGAGGGGTGGCAGAGGTCATGAGAAAAGACAGAGGGCTGGAGGAGGCATGAGGGAGGCTCGCAGCCCTTCTCAGAAACTCAGGGGAAGGTCACTGGAGGGCCTGCGTTTGGATGTTTACTCGACTCTACGCACTGTTTGGGAATGTTCAAATGAATCCTGATCCACAAACACACATCACACTGATGCTTCAGCTCAGACTCATGCTTGAAGGCACGTATAAAACAATGAGCAGCGAGCGTGAAGGAGTGTTCACTCCCTCAAATGCCAAATGTCAAACTGTTTTACTAATCAATTCGATAATAACAACAGTGCTGCAAGGCCTCTTATTTTAATTCATAATTTTCTGTAATTATTTTGGCCCAAACTTGCAGACTCCATTCAAACTTTTTGTAGATAATTTCAGTTCTAACAGTGCTATTTTTATGAACTTTAATAGCTTTTAATATTAAAAAGTTAGTTTACTCAAAAATCATAATTTCCTCAACTTTGTCGTTCCAAACCTTTGAAACAGAAATGAAGTTGAAACCTGAGAGATTTCTGTCCCTCCATTAAAAGTCCATGTAACCAAAGCTTTGATCTAAAAGAAATCCATATGAAGAGAGTGGTTTAATCAAAGTCTTCTGAAGAGACACGATGGCTTAATATGATAAACAGATCTAATTTAGGCTTGCATTCATATATAAACATTGATCAATGCACATACTTAGAGCACATCAAATCAGACTAATCAGGGTATAATTCACCACAATGAATTTGACTGAAAACGAGACTGTGAGGGATAGACTTACAGTATGGCATGCGTCGTATAAAGGTTTATAATTGTTTTATGGGCTAAAAGAGTTTCTAGGTCCACTGAAAGGCTTTTGGAATGATGTTTCTTCAGCTGAACATTTGGTATGTTGTTAAAAACAACTGAGCAATCTAATGGACACTGTACGTCTATCCCTCTTTCATTAATGTCAGAATTTAAATATGATGCTACACTAAGGTCTATGTGGTAAACAGTGAGGAAACTAATGAGGTTCATTCTCATGAGTCATGCAAGCACATATGAACTTCCGCAAGAACCAATGAGGGTTGTTCTCGTATGCAAAGCAAATATGTGCGCTCGTTAAATCTGTTCATCAAGCAAAGCAGTCGTTATGTCCTCAGAAGACTTGGGTTAAACTATTTGATTTACATGGATTACCTTTACAGTGTATTTATTTTTTTGTCATTCATTTTAGAAGCATTAGTGTATTTATTGGTGGAATGGACTTTCAGTGGAGGAACAGAAACTATCCATTTAAAGTCTGTTGTACCGAAACTGTGATTGTTGCTTCTTAAACCTGGCTTCATTTCGAGAGTGAGTCAGATGTTGATTCAGTAAATGCTCCGAACGATTCAGCAAAGCATTAAAGGGTTAGTTCACCCAAAAGTGAAAATCAGCCTATGTTTTACTCACCCGCAAAGCATCCTAGGTGTATGTGACTTTCTTCTTTCAGACGAATCTAATCGGAGTTATATAAAAAATTGTCCTGGTCCCTCCAAGCCTTTCAATGTGGGTAAGCGGGTGTTGGTTGTCAATAGTTCAGAAGACGTGAAATAAAGTGCGTGCATCTGTAATAAAACGTCCCTCACACGGCTCCGGGGGGTGAATAAAGTCCTCCTGTAGCGAATCCATGCATTTTTGTAAGATAAATATCCATATTTCAAACGAAATAAACACTTTTTTCTCACTTCCGCTGACTGTGGTACACGGAAGCCGTTCCGGCAGATGACGCGAGACGTAGGCGTTGCGTGATTAGTGACGAGCGCGGAGAGAGAACAAAACAAAACACCAGTCATGAATTAGAAGCACAAAACAAGGATTTGTAAAGAAAAATGTCAGAGGATTTCGATATAAGCCAAGAGGAGACTGGTTTTCCTTTGCTAAATTAAGGAAACTTTGTTTCCTTTGCACCTGCATTTCTCAGAGGCACGTGAACGACGCATACATCTTACGTCATCCGCCTGCACGTCATCTACGTACCACAGTCAGCGGAAGTGAGAGAAAAGTGTTTATTACATTTGAAATTTGGATATTTATCTTACAAAAATGCATGTACGTATGTGCATCTCTCCATTCTTTGTAAGTGGGAAAACTTGAAAAATCGACAGTGTATCAAATACTTATTTGCCCCACTGTAACTCCGATTGGATTCGTCTGAAAGAAGAAAGTCACATACACCTAGGATGCTTTGAGGGTGAGTAAAACATAGGCTGATTTTCATTTTTGGGCGAACTAACCCTTTAATGCCTCTTTTTTCCACCAACATGTTTCCTCTGGTGGTTCCTGGGCTGATGCCCGCCCTACACTCTCATGCCACCATAGAAACAGCAGTTCTGGACTGAAAACACTAGTTTCAATTCAACCCTAAATCCTTGCTGACTGGAAAAGTCAGAGAGCTTGAATTGGGAAAATTCCCAAAACTTCTCTATCATTTGACTTCATTTTGACCACTATTGTTTTGCTGCCTTGCAAGAACTCGTATTTCCTTCCTTCCAACTGCACCAATAAAATAAGACTTTTGCAGCATGTAGTAGGGATGCTCTTGATCAAACTGCATTAAAAGTTCAAGGTTCTTTGTACGTCACATATGTATTCCATACAGAACCTTGAACCTTTGTAAACTTACAACTGTTCAGTGCACACACATGCTGTCCATCATGTGCACATGCATCCTAATATGCCTGCTTGTTTTTATAACCAGTTATAATGATCAATCAGATAAAAGCTTGAATAATCAATGTCAATATTGGCTGGGTTAAAAAATAATAATAATACCAAGCAGTATTTGCTGGGTAGCTCCTTGACCTGACCTTTCAGCCTTTTGTCCCTAATTTTATTTAGATTTTAGGACAAAGTGAGACAATTCAAACAAGCAAAACTGAAAACCGATAAGGGAATGCAGTGTTTGGGCAAAGCTCATCTCGTGACCCTCATCAGCTGAGGTGTCACTGAAGCAGAGAGTCAGGTGACCAGAGCCAGGGATTTCTCAGAGTCAGCAGTGGTCAGGTGACTGCTCCAGCTGCAGTGAGAGGAGGTGAAGGAAGCAATGCAGGAAGCCAGAAAAACTGTAAGCCTTACCTTTTACTGGTCCAATGTATAGTATCTCAGAGGCTTGAGGAATGGGAGGAAATGTAGAAAAGAAAAAACAAAGAGAAAGAGGGGGAATGAAAGGATAGATTAAAGAGATTAACAGTTTGGAGGAAATGGAAAGCGTTACCATGCAGAATGAGACAAGACATCAGAAGTAACCAAAGTTTCAAAAAGAAAATAACTAATATCTCAAACAAATAAATACATGAATAAAAGGTTCAGGCAGACAGACCCAAGATGTTCATACACATCTTTAATAAATGTCATTCAGAGTTACATTTTGCCTTTTCATTAAACTCTTTCCACTAGGGTTGCCCCCTAATAGTCGACTAATCGTTAGTAGACCAGAAGAGGCTTGGTCGACCAAACTTTTATTAGTTCAACGCTATATATATATATATATATATTTATATATATATATATATATTTATCAGTCTGGCGAGTGAACAAAAAAATTTACTAGCCAATGGCGATTCAATTGCCAAAGTGTTCGTAGAGGGCTGAAGTTGCTTAGTCATAGAGAAAAAAAATCCACAGGGGAAGTCATGCAGTTTGTGACTAACAGATCTTTAACAGTTAGTCTATGGTAATAAAGTACAAATGCTCGCCTATCCTTCATCGACCTCAAATATGGATTATCATCTGAAATATGTAAGTATTGAAAACTTTACATGGCCGCTATTCAAATGTGCGCTATTCAAGTGCGTGTGTGGCGTGTATAAGTGCGCTTACTGCAGGACAGATGGAGGCGCTGGTGCGTTACTTGCTCCTAAAATACTGGTAATTTTTGCTCATACAGATAAGAGTAATACTTAATTCAAATCTGTAAAGACTGTTTATTTGTGTGCACTCACAATAAAAACAAATCGCGCTTTTGTGAAATAATGAAAGCAAACAGGATGCGCTTTCTGCCGTCTCGGTCTCTGTGAACTTGAGCGTGAAACTCTGTGTATAATCTTTGCCTTACAGACATTAAAAATATATCTATAGAGAGTGAAATGTCTACTTTCAATTCAAATGGAAAACAAATATTCTCAGATTATGTAATCAGTATGAAACTGTGGAGTACTGTGGAGATGACGAGTCAGTGTCAATGTCGCCGACTTCGTCTCTTAAACAGAGAACAAAAAGCACTAGTTTACCAAATTATTAAAATGTTAATGCAGCCTCCTTACTGCTTTTCCCTGAAACATTCATAATCAATACTTCTGCGGTGCGCTGTGGCAAGCTTTATGAGTGCTTGAGCGCTTATTAGGCTATGAAGGCAATTAAAGGCTCATAATAATGATTTAAATGGTTTATTAATAAACTAGTCGACTAATGCTTAAAATGAACGATTACTAGACGACCAGAAAAATTCTTAGTCGAGGACAGCCCTACTTTCCACAAATAAGGCTTTTTTTTTACCTATAGAAAGTGTTGGAAAATATTGTTCACCCAACTTAAAGTCAAAGTAGGTATTCTAAGAGCAACTTTATTTTCTATAAAAAATTTTAGACAAACAATATACCATATTTTTGTAATTAAACCTCAAGTTATCAATTTAATATCAACTCAACAGATCAAAATCTGTTGACTCAACATCACTGTATTTTAATTGCTGGAGAGTAACAATTTTAAAACTAGTTATTTTACATATTATATTAGATTAATAGCTGATCGTAACATTTTTAGTCTGTCTAAAGAACATGGTATTTGTACCTTTAGCTTATCTCACATAATAAATAAATAAATTAATATGTGTTTCTGCTCTTCTCTAGCTTACTTTCTAGTGTAGTTGTCTAATAAACAAGGATTTTATATATTCTAAATATTGAAGTCTCTTTGACAAATTGCTTTTGTTCCTCTTCTGTAAGCTGCTTTGAATAAAAGCATCTGCTAAATGTGCGTATGAAAGTCCAGACACAGACCAGGGGAGGACAGAGCTCTACTTCCAGAGAAGATAGTGTTGTTTGAAGATCCGTAGAGGAAGGGAAAGGAACAACAATACTTATGGGTGGAGCTCATGTCCTGCTCACACCGTTACCAGAGCGATCCCTATCACAGCGACTCGTACTGAAATCCCTCTGAGAAGAGATCAAGAGGCGGGTCTTCGGCTCATTTCCCGTTGTGGGCCAAAACGGCTCATGGCGGCTCCCGTTCCATTTTCTCCTTCCTAAAGGACCCTTTGTGCAGTAAAAAACAGCGTCTTTATGGACCCTAAACATCGGGAGTGCTGCACTATTTTAATGAGGGTCATCATGAGGTTAAATGGTAGTAATGAAGGAACAAGTGGAGAACAGATCACAGACACAAGCTTTTTGGCCTGCGTGTTGAGTTTGCATGGGGGACGCGTCTGGGACAATAGACCCTATTCATGTCGACCTGAGGAGATGGAGTCTGTCCTCTGTGTATCGTTAATGGATTGTAGCGCATCATGTGTGGGGTGCTCGGCGATGTAGCTGCTCTGTTTCAAAATGGCAGCGTGACCAAATATGTGCGGAATCTGAACCATTCACGCTCCGAAATTAGAGCAAGAGCAGCAGGCCTGCAAATGATACACTGCTCTCAACCCACACATTTCTCATTTCAGCACTGTTTCAACAGAACAAGCCTTTTGTTTTCCTGCTCTTCAACCACACTCGCATCATTATAGAGCTTTATGGGTTCCACATCATCAAACACTGTGTACGACGCAAACAAGCAATGCGATGTGGCACGACAATCAGAGTATCTATTGCTCATACTTGGGTTTAAGATTCAACATAACCTCAAATCTCAAGCACCTCAGTGTGTAACCCCACCTGCATGATTTGTGACTGATATGAACCATGCCTCAAGCTTGTTGCAGAGAGAAGTACCATAATGCTATGTCAAACTGATTAAAATCAACTGGGTTGAGTTGCTTGGGCATTTATAACTGGTTTTCAATCCTGTCTAGGGGACCCAGAGCACTGGACATTTCACATTAGCATATCTTTAGTGCCCTATGATGCAGCGATGTAGAAAATAAGGACCGAATCAAAGAATTTATCACAATTTTTTTTCCCCCTGAAATTCTGATTGAATACATAATGGTGATAATCAAATTAAGGTATAAAACCTGACAAAAAGGGCACCTTTATTGTAAGAATGATATTTTATGAGTTCAATTGATTAGACATGCTTTTTGATTATTAAAACGTAATTAAAGCATTAAAACAGAGAAATAAAATGGCATTCATCGGGCCCTAAAATTTAGCTTTTTTTACAATGTTAATAAATTGCTGTTAAATTATACAAGCTTCATGATTCCAGTTAATTAGACAAGCTTTTTAATTACTAAAATTTAATTAAATATTAAAACAGAATTCAGAACAAAAGGAATTTGAGGGGAAAAATAACATTGATTTAATAGATCGTTACATCTCTTTTATTATTTATTCAGTTTATGCAGCTGACTTGTTGCCACACCTTTCAGATTAGACATGCTTTTTGATTATTAAAACGTAATTAAAGCATTAAAACAGAGAAATAAAATGGCATTAATCGGGCCCTAAAATTTAGCTTTTTTTTTTTTACAATGTTAATAAATTGCTGTTAAATTATACAAGCTTCATGATTCCAGTTAATTAGACAAGCTTTTTAATTACTAAAATTTAATTAAACATTAAAACAGAATTCAGAAGAAAAGGAATTTGAGGGGAAAAATAACATTGATTTAATAGATCGTTACATCTCTTTTATTATTTATTCAGTTTATGCAGCTGACTTGTTGCCACACCTTTTGGATTTTGCATCCAGAGTGAAACATTCAAAAAACCATTGCTAGTAACTGGCGTTGACGGTTTCAGCATTAAATGACTTTTTATTGAAATTCTTGCAGTTTGATTCTCCACTACTTTAAGCATTATGGCAGGACGACTCGCACTCCCTGGATTTTCCACAGTCCTGGAGGAAACGAGTGTGACGGAGTGCAAGTGTGTTGGGGAGGGGCTTCACGGCTTGGCAGGAATGGCTTGTTTAGTTGTGTTACTAAAGCAAAAGCATTCCAGAGGTTTTAAGGACTACCAGATGGCAGTTCTCTCTCTCCGAGTCTGCCCTTTTACAGCCATATGTGAGCGAACTGCAGCAGGTCACTGGAGTGCAATCAACAACAAACAGAAGATCCTTCAGCAAACGCTCCCAAATTAAACAGCCGTAACTCACAAGAAACTTGCAAAGAACGCTCTGACTGAGAAACCACACATTTATCATTTTATTTCTTCTCTGACGAGCAGTTCGTGTGTTAGGCAAAGCACTCTGCAGAAACACAGTCCGCTCGCTCTAAGAGGCAAATAATACACACACACTCCAAATCACTGCATGCCTCACATGAGAATGCAACAGTAACGTGAGGAGAAAACGCCCACCAGAACAACTGATACCACCAGAGAGAGAGTTAGCATTATGAAGCCAGCGGTGAACAATGATATGGCCTCTGAATGAAAACACAGACTAATTCAAGAGCTGCACTTCACATCACAGCTATTCACAACCATTTTCAGTTTAAGGCCTAAAGTAAAAGTACACATATCACAGGGCTCCAGACTCATTCTTCCCACTGGTCGCTCTTTTGTATATTGCTCTTCTGTTGGTTTTGATTGCTTCTATTGTCCTCATTTGTAAGTCGCTTTGGATAAAAGCATCTGCTAAATAACAAAATTTCAATATAAATGTAAATGTAAATAACAAAACTAAATTAACATTTTAAAACAAGCTCCAAATCAAATAAATAACACAAATAAAATAAATATCTTCATATAAAACAAAATAAGGCTTTGTCTGTGCTCTTTCCATTTAAAATTAGAGGCAATCATTTCCAAACAATGATATAATTATGTTTAATAATCATTAAACATAATAATCATTATCCAAACAAAGATGCTGCATACATGCAACATGAGGATTTTTTTATCTAAATTACATTGTATAATTTCTAAATTTGAAGCAAAAACAGAATGGTTTGACTTCAGTTTTGTGAAACTATAAATAAAAATATCTGCATGAAACAGAAACAGCAGACGAGCTGAACGAGACGCAGATTCACTCTATGAGAGAAAAATACCATCTAAACTTTTCTAAAGACGAAAGTAACTTACGAAAGTAAGCTCCCCTCAGACATGCATTCATATAAACTCCTAACCCTAACTGATCGCGATTTGTTTAGCATCTCAACTGATTTGAATCGTCACATATTTGAATCGATTTTCAACCGGCTCACAGTTTATCATTACATCCCTATTGCTCGGTGACAGTGCTTGCATGTTTTTTCCCACAAGAATACCAGCATGTTCACCTTCTCTAGTTTAAGAAGCGGTCTTTTACTTTACTTTAGCTTGAAAACCAAATTCTCCGTCTTCCATCATTTCCTCGATATTCACGTAATTTTTGCCGCGTGCTGAGCACACTTTAGCGCTCGTGCTGATGCGGCGAGTATAAACTAGGCTCTACCCCCGAAGCTCTCGCACTGAAAGCATCTTTCTTCACGTGATCAGTGAAATCGGTCTCCTGCTACAATGTGCCGCGGCTCTGCAGCACTGCATGGAGCAGGCGCTTTAGAGCAGCGCAGACTATACACGCACATAAAAGTAGGGCTGGACGATATGGCCAAAATTTATATCACGATATATTTCTCAATTCCGGTCGATACGATATAATTCCGATATCGATATGAACACTATTGAAAAAGCCTCATAAAAACGGCCAAGAACGGCCACAACAGATGTCTGTACCTACAAACTCATGAAAAATTAATTTGCCAACTCTATGAAACCTACTCCTATAAAACTATTTAACATGTTAGGAAAAAAATGGCGCAAATAAATAAATGTTCACCTTTTATTGGTATTTAGCCTTCATACAAACAAGAAATGTGAAATCACTGTCAAATAAATCTCAGACTCTCCTTATTAATATTAATATTTTTTACTTCAAACTATAGGCTAACATACCAGTCAAAAGTTTTTGAACAGTAAGATTTTTAATGTTTTTTTAAAGAATTCTCTTCTGCTCACCAAGCCTGCATTTATTTGATCCAAAATACAGCAAAAACGGTAACATTTTGAAATATTTTTACTATTTAAAATAACTAGTTTTTATTTGAAAATATAATTTATTCCTGTGATTTCAAAGCAGAGCTTTAGCATCATTACACGTCACATGATCCTTCAGAAATCATTCTAATATTCTGATTTGCAGCTCAAAAACATTTATTATTATGATGTTGAAAACAGCGGAGTAGATTTTTTCAGGTTTCTTTGATGAATAGAAAGTTCAGAAGAACAGCATTTATCTGAAATAGAAATCTTTTGTAACATTATAAATGTCTTTATCACTTTTGATCAATTTAAAATATCCTTGCTAATATTGCCTGTAATAAGACCTCAATATTTCGTCAGGAGCCACAGGTATTCATTTTGTGTTACCTGTATATGCTTTTTTAAACTCTCAAAGTGACGGCAGCCGCTGACGTGCATTTTATGAATCACCAAGAACCACGGCTTCAGATAAAAATCTTCTTTACTGTTCTACTGAAGAACAAAAAAAGTCACCTACATCTTGGATGACCTGAGGGTTTAAGTTAAATTTCACTTTTTGGGTGAACTATCCTCTTAACAGGGGCATTTAAAGAGAGAGAGAGAGAGAGTTGGGATCAATTAAAATCAATTTGAGAACGAGGAAGTCATCTGACTTCTTTCCTGGTCTAAAGACTTTTTTTTGCAAATATTGACAGCGAAAAAGATTCAACCTGTAAGTGCTCATAAGGCCTTGTTTTCTATATATGGACACAACAAAAGTTACCATCAGCCAGTTACACTGATAAGAACGGTTTACGAAACAGGATTTGGAGCGGTTCAAGGGCATGCTGGGTCTTATCTATGCTACGAAATACAGATCAGTGTGTTTAACAAATAATAAACACCAGCCAAAAGACCAGAAAACAAGAAATGTGGTCAAGCACACCTTTAACCAATTCAGTTATTAGATACCAGTGCTATGGCATTATCACAGCACTCAAGCCTCAAAACAACAGCAGTACAACAGGATTTTCCAAAAGGTAGAACAATGATGCACAGTAGTAAATATCATCAGCATCATCATGTATTATTTTAGCCAAATTCTGCGTTAGGTCCATTTACAGATGACATAAGAGCACATCAGAATGAAACAGACAACTTGTGAGCATCTTATGAACAGAAGCGCATAGTTTGAGATGCTGAGAACAAAAGACATAACGCCAAAAACGACATCCGTCTGATGCATGTGTATACAGACCAACAATTAAAAACAGAGCAGAAGGAATAGAGAACACAAACTGCCCCTTAATGCATGTTAAACAGCAAACCACACAAGCAGCTCCTATGATGTGAGGGGTCTGGGTTCATTTAGAGCGCTCACATTAGTTATTCAAGACATATCTTCAAATTGAAAATTCTAGTTAAATTTTTTGGTGGTGCAATTTTTCTGTTAGTTTGTTGTGAGTATGAGGACTATAGGTTTAACCGAAATGCTGCAATGCCGTGTGAATGTGAATTGATTAAAATACATTCAGAAGAACTACATTATTTTTGTAATACTATTCCAATATTCATAAGTATAACAATACTACTAGGGATAGGGATACTTTAGCTGCTAAAGAGTTAGTCAAAACCCTGTGTGTTACATTGTTTTGTATTAAAGTTCCTGTGAAGTGATTTGATGAGTGCAGTTTTCTGTTCCCCGATGCTTTGACACATATGTGACTCTGGACCACAAAACCAGTCATAAGGGTCAATTTTTTTAAATTGAGATTTATACATCTGTACAATAAATAAGCTTTCCATTGATGTGTGGTTTGTTAGGATAGAACAATATTTGGCAGAGATACAACTATTTGAAAATCTGGAATCTGAGGGTGCAAAAAAATCAAATTAAGTTTTAATATATTTACGGTAGAAAATTTACAAAATATCTTCATGGAACATGATCTTTACTTAATATCCTAATGATTTTTGGCATAAAAGAAAAATCAATAATTTGGACTCATACAATGTATTGTTGGCTATTGCTACAAATATACCCCAGAGACTTAAGACTGCTTTTGTGCTGCAGGCTTACATATCTCGTCTACACGTCAGTGCGGTTTACAATCCAGCGGATAATTTTTCTTACAGATTAAACAAGTTCGATTTATTTTTATTTTTTTAACAAATTGATTTTCAAAATAATTTACATAAATATTATGTGAAAAAAGTACTAACTCTATTGCGGCAATGTTGTTTTATTATCATTAAACTGATTGATATCATATATATTGGCATTATTATCGATCATCAGTGTCCAAGATATCCACATAAGCCATTAAAAACCCATATCAGATGATCACTTTTGACAACACAGCATACTTTAGATGTTCATTGCTATACGTATAATGTACTGTTTCACATACTATTTTTAAAACCGTGGGCAGTGTTAGCAGTACGCTGGGGTGTTACAAAGCTAAAGGCTATTGGATTTTTAAAAAGCATGTGCCCTTAGATTGGTCTACAGGAAATACATCAGCACATGAAAACAATTGTGTTTGTCGGTGCATTTGATGGGGCCTTTAAGCTGTCGCTGTATTCTGATTTAGCACCATCTCTCTAGCAAAGCCTACATCTGTCTCAGCACTGAAGGCTGAATGCGCTCTAAAGTATAGCAAAATAACACAATTATCCTGACTTGCTGTTCTTCTCGACCAGCGGGGAGATCGAGTTAGGCTAATGGAGCTATGAAAAAGCGGAGTAATATTTTAGGGAAGGCAGCAGCACTCACTGAAGGTTTTGCAGATGTCGGACACGGCCTTGAAGACGCGGTCAGAGAAGTTGACCTTCACCCTCATGTGCTTCATGTTGGGCAGCTGCAGGCGCAACAGCTTGTGCTGCGGCGTGAAGAGCAGCCTGGCGTCGGCCTGAATGCCGTATTTATCCAGCGTCCAGTGCGTCTTTAGCAGCCAGGTCTTCTTCTTCTCCCACCACAGCGCGTGATCTGACCAGTCCTTCTTCACATCTGCGTAAAGAGAAATATGACAACGTTAGGAATCACATTGACAAACACTGGGAAAGGGAGGGATGAAAAGCAACCGAGCTAAAACTGGCCTCTGATTTGGCTGCACACAAGGCAATGCGATGGAGTTGAAAATGAGGTCAGCTGGAGGGAAACATGGTTAAGTGTCAGATGTGTTTGTGAAAGTGAACTTGCCCAACTGGAGGGCTGCGTTCGGGTCTGGACGAAAGCAAGAGGCCAAGCATTCATCGGGAGGCTCGAGCGCATGGGCCGAGAACAGGAGCAGTTGGAGGTGAACCGCTGAGAAGTGTTTGTATGTGTGAGTAAGGAGATCAGGGTCAAGCCTCACTCTTTGTTCCACATTCGCACTGTAACCTGAGTCTGATACTCTAGACCTGCTTTTCCTCTAACAGCTGCACACAAACAACACAGGAAGTGGACTGCAGAAGAAGAATCCAATTCATAATAACCAGGAGACATATTACATGCACCCAGCATACTATGCAGGGCTCTGCACTTGTTTGTTTGTTTTTGAGCACTCCGGAGGGAAGTCAAAGCCCAGTGTTGTCACGAAAATGGAATTTATAACTTTGATATAATACCTTGAAAAATATTGATATTCCATATACCATTGTCAATACCACCGGGTGGTATTCAGTTTTTGTTTGACCGTAGTCAAAGTATTTCTTAACTATAATAATAATAATAATAATAATAATAATAATAATCACATTATTATTATTATTGAGCAGACATATACTACTATTATACTATAACTTCATTGTAAAATAATGAGTATTCCATGCTTGCTTTACAGTCAGAAAAATTACAATAAAAATGACAATTTCTGTAATTGAAAAAGTTACACACTCAAACTTTCATTTTGTTGGAAAATTGCAGGAAAGCTCAACGTTTCTGAAATAAGAGCACAAGGTTTATCTGATAATCAGATGCATGAAAGTAGCATTTGTTGTTATAATAAAACAGACATCCGGTGCTTTTTATCTCAGAATCATCATTCGCTGATGGAGAGGAAAAGTTAAATACATTCATTTAGTACAGTACAGAAACTATAAAGTACATGTTCTTCCTTATTCTGTGCAGAAAATTTAAATAATTGTTTGTAGTATATAAATCGATCATAAAATTGCCATTAGGGAAAAAAAAAGTAGATTACAAATGATTGATTATTGTCCAGCAGTGCATTTGATTTCTTATAGCAAATTCAAAGTAAGAGATAAGAAAATAATTCCTTGTAAAATGTAAAAAATAAATCATAATAAAACATACATACAATTATTGTATTTGACATTTCTGTCACTTCTGAAATGATGGCTACACCTCTGGTGTGACAAAATGTTAGCCTATACATAATACTTTTAAAGCTCTTTTTTTAAATCTTGGCTTACATACATTTCTACATATGCCATGTCATGCCGTAGCATCAATAAACTAGGATCTAACAATGGACAAAAGTGGGGGTTTTTCTGTAACCTATGGTTCTCTAACCATAAAGGCTGCTGTGTAAATTGCACCCTGACTAAGCATTTAAAGAATTTAGGAGTTAGCATTTAAATAATCCAGTGAATGCACTTAAATAATGCAGAATCGAATCAAATCGAATTTAATTGTGAATCGAATCGAATGGTTCTGAATTATCAAAAATCGTTCTTGAATCGAAAACCTATGAATCGTGAATCAAATCGATTCGCTGACTACCCAAAGATTCACAGCCCTAGACTATATACTTATACAATTACAACACACACACTGTGGTGTGTGTCAGAGAGCTGTCCGAGAGAAGAGAGCGTACGAGAGTAGATGGTGTATCAATATTGTGGAAAATGAGTATTGAAACGGTTTCTAACATTTCAGTACCATTATGTATCGAAAAATGGCAACCCACCAGCCTTATCACACTCTGACAATGAGCATACAGAGGTGACATGAGAAGTGACTGAGGAGTGCGTTGCTCTCAGGTTGTTTGACAGCTGGCTTCACTTTTTCATTGAGCTTGCGGTGCAAATAATTACCCAATCAAACTATCCTGGGGCTTGAATGAATGTGGGCTGGACCAGTGGCGTCTCTCCATCACTGATGTCAGGACACAAGTATGCATGTGAGCAGACAAAGGAAACCGTTTCCCCCTCAGCAGACCACTATCCAGTTTTTTTTAATTATTTGTGTGTGTGTGTGTGTGTGTGTGTGTGTGACTGTGAAAGTGGATCGCCTCCATCTTCCTTCCTAACCAAACTCTAAATGAAAGAATCTGGTTGAACTCATAGTATGGTTTTTAAACCGTTTAACTGATTGCATTAATTGGTCAAAAATTATCCCAGTCGGTTAACGGTTAACCGGTTAAAATGAACATCCCTTCTAGGAAACATTTTTCCCTCCAAGTAAGGCAGGTAAGAAACTAGGGCTATATAATATTCTGTAACTAGAATGAAACGGGAAAATGGTCATGGTAGCACAACTGATTTAGGTTAGATTTTTTGCTAGATGACACAGAAAAGTTTGAAAGGATTATGGGCTTAAGAAAAAAAATAAACTAAAGGAATTGTAATATAGATTGTAATCTTTATTTCATCAGGACAAAACAATGAATGTGACTATCGATTTCTCAAAACATCTCTCCAATCTTCTTTCTGACTTCTTTCGGTCCACTTCTAGTCGTGAACATTTATCTACTGACAAAAACGTACTGACTCAGTTTTTCTCCTCCACACCCAACAAAAAGACACACTGGTCGCATTTCAATGACTGCGTCTCGTTCACTAGCCAACTGTGGCGTACCATCTCCATAACAACATAACACAGAATAAAAGACAACACAACAAGTTCAGTTCTGAGAGACAGTCTACAGGATCAAGGAACATATTTACAAGCCAACAGACTTCCCAAAATTGCCAACTAATAAGCACTGTCCTCTATGCTCCTATTATGTCTTGTAGATTAATTCTGAGGATTTATTGTAGATCCACAGAAATATGCCTGGAAGCCAGTAAGGTGCATGCTAAACTGTAGTGCAGAAAACACCAGCATGCACTTTAAAGATTAAATAAACTTGCACTTCCTCACCAGATGAAATGGACTAAACCGCCCATCAAAGAAAAATAAAAGTCCAACTCTTCACTGAATCCAGATCATCTCGATTACAAACTGTTGCAAACACTTTTCAGGGCTTGACAAGAAAAAGAGAACTTGACTTTCTGAGTTGTTCCCAAAGTATGGATGGGAAAGACTTAGTTAAACATGCATAGGTTTTAACAAAAAGAAACAAACGTGACATCATTTGGCGTGAAAGATGACACATGCGTTCAATGAGGTTAGGAAAGAATGGGACTTTGTAAAGGTAAAAAGTCTCCTAGAAATCAATTTAAGGTGGCAAATATTTTATCTTAAAATTACATTGACTTAATGTGATTTAAAAAGCATCTGTCGTAGTTAACATTTTGGAATAATTTATTTATATAGCCTACTTTGGTTTTATTTCGTTTCACTGGTAAAGATATTTTTTTTCTTTACACCAAATTTAAAAACGAAAACAAATGCTGAATGCTGATTAAGTAACATCTTTGTTTGGAGTGTTGAATGTGTTTTGATTGTGTTGTTTGGATTGTAGAACTACGCAGTTGTTGCCTTTAAAATTACATGGTTACTGTTAATGTTTTCATTTAAGGCCAGTTTATAGTTTCAACCCAATTTAAAAACAAAAGCTAAATGTATTTGTCAGTAGGCCTACCTATGTTTGTATTGAATGTAGCCTATTTACTGTGCAGTTACTGCTGTTAATTTCAGATGGTTACAGTTGTTGTTTTCAATAGCCAAAACTTAGTTTAGCCTGTTAAATACCAAATAAATATTTTGCTTATGTGTACTTTTATTCTTTCTTGTTTGTTGTTTGATAAAAATAAAAAAAAAATCGGAAATCGGTATCGGAATCGGCCAGTTTGCTTGTAAAAAATCGGTATCGGAATCGGCCATGAAAAATCATGATCATGCATCACTACTAGCCGGTGTGTTCGACTAGAGGCGAGGCGCAGATCGATCATCCGCGAGAGTGAATCGAAAGCACACGGAGCAGTCTGCTCTCTTTAGCTCCTTCTGTAGCGAATCGATCCGTTTTTATAATAAAAATATCCATATTCAAAACGTAATAATCAATTTAATCTAGACTTTCTATTGATATTTCCACTTGTGCGCGTTCTAGGCGGGCTGTCAGTCAGTGCAGTTACAGTGTTGCACCGCAAGGTGGTGGAAAGGGACTGTCATTCAACTACACGTTCAAAAACGCTGATTCATTCAATCAAAGAGACGTAATGAAACACGCTGTTGAAATCATTTTAACTTTGAGCGTCACTTTAGAAGGCTCAGCTGACCAGCTATGCGTCGATGCTAAGACAGAGATTTCGCTTTCCTTGGACATGACAACCTATTTTCACAAATATATATGACTTGGCCTGGAGGACAGACGCAAGTAATCGCACGCACTCAGTCGATCTCGCTCTCATTCACTGTCTGTTTAGGCTTGTTAAGTGCAAATCTACGGAGCCTCTGTACAAATCAGCATGGTACACATTATGCTATCATTACTAATTTGTTTAATATTCAGTACACATGCATGAAGTGTAAAAGGAGAAGGGCATATCCTTATGAAAAAAGAAAAGATAAAATTGGTATCGAAAAAAGTATCATTCAGGAACCGGTATCGAAGTCAAGGTATCTTTATCGGTATCGATATCGGTTGCTGCGGTTCTTGCATTCCTCTGCGGTTTGCTTGTCAATAGCGCAGTATTGCGGTTATCCCTAACTGATATTAGTCATATCTATGACTTTATGCATTAAATACTGTTCTTATTCCTTCTTTCCTGTGATGGGAAGGGAATAAAGGAAGACACAGATGGATCTCTTTATGGGTGGAGCAGTCAGCTGGTGATTTTATTAAACACTTGACAGCAGCGTGTGGACTCACCCCGAACAGCATCCTGCCATGCATGTGC